CTTTTCTTCATTCTTTTCTTTCTGTTCCCCAGACTCGGTAATTTCAATTGAATGGTTTCAAGTTTGCTGATCATTTATTCTGCCTGCTCATATCTGATGTTGAGCCCCTCTAGTAGAATTTTAAATTTCAGTTATTATATTTTTCAGCTCTGATATTTTTGTTTGGTTGCTTTTCTAATTTGTCTCTTTATTAACATTCTCATGTTGTTCATCTTTTATTTTCCTGGTTTCTTTTTTGTCCATAGTTTCCTTTAACTCTTTGAGCATATTTAAGACAGATGATTTAATGTCCTTATTTAGTAAGTCCAAAGTCTAGACTTCCTCAGGGATGGTTTCTGCTATTTTTTCTCTTTGTATGGCCATACTTTCCTGTTTGTTCATATAATTTATGATTTCTTATTGAAAACTGGACATTTGAATATTATAAGTGGTAGCTCTGGAAACAGATTCTCTTTTTTCCCAGTATTTGCTGGTTTTGTTTGTTTGTGTTCAATTGTTTGTGTTCAGCAGTTGTTTCAAGGGTCAATTGTATATGTCCTTTGCCATATACAATGTCCTTTGCCATATACAATGACCCTTGAAACAATTGCTGAACACAAACAATTGTTTTGACTGAACGTCAGAAGCTTAATTTGCATAAGCCTTTACTTCTTGCTTGCATTGAGACAAGTGGTGAAAACTTAAGGTCTTCTCAAGTCTTTTCTGAACATGCATCCTGCTCTGGGCATACACATGGCTTTCTAAGTTCCCCAGTAAATTCTAATTTTGAATGCCCTAATTTCCCAAAGAAACTCTCTCCTGTGCTTTTTTACCCTGGCTTTAGGCAGTCTATATATGTCTCAATCATAATCTTTGGCCCCTGGCAACTGTGGATTTTTTGATTGCCTTACAATGTTTTGAGCGATATAAATTTGGAGTTCCAAATTTAGCCAGAGAAGTACACCTGTGTGAGCCCATAAGTCCCCCACTCCCACCCCAAACAGGTTAGGACAGACATATAAAATAATTTGTGAATATGATCTCTGCTCCCTCCAGACCAGGGAACAATACTGGAGGAATGCTGGCTGCCTTCTTCAAGACTGCTGTAAAGCGAGGGAGAGGATGAGCCAAGGGCCAGTAAAAATAAAATGCTTTCCTACTTTTTAAAATTTGCCTTTTTCTCTATTTGCTTTTTGCTTCTGCTTGAGTGCTATAAACCTTTAGCTGCTTCCTGGAGTTCTGACAGTTTCTGGTGTTTTTTTTTCAATGTTTCTATGGAAAGATGGAAGTTTGGAACTGCCTACTCTTCCATTTTGCTAGTATCACTCCTAATCTAATGAGTTTCTCCGTGTTTGTGCATATTTTATCAGTTATGGAAAGAAGAATTTTTAAATTTTCCATTACAGTTGTGGGTTTGTGTATTTCTTATAGTTTGTTGAATTTTGCTTTATGTATTTTGAAACTATGTTATTAAGTATATTCAAATTTAGATTTGCCATATCAGACTTGTGAGTTGGACTTAAACATTATGAAGTATCTCTTATGATTTTTGCCTTTAAATCTACTTTGTCTGAAATTGCTGTAACTATAGTAGCTCATGTTGGGTTATTATTTACATGGCATATAGCTTCTCATTCTTTACTTTCAGTCTTTCTATATCCTTATGTTTTAGATGTATCTCTTGTAAATAGCGTATGATTCTGTTTAGTTTTTTAATTCTGTTTTTAATTATTTTGTCCATTTATATTTAGTGTAAATTATCAAAATCTTTTTTTTTCTTACCCATTTCCTAGACGATACAAAGACCATAAAACACTTTAACTGCATTTTCTCCCCCTTTGGCATTTATTTCTCAATTCTATATAGACTTTCAATACCACAACACATTTTTTATACAGTCACATTCATCCACAGCTATTTACATTTTTACTAGTTGTGTTGTTTCATTCTTGCCTCTGATCTTCATCTGAGGTCATTCAGAATATCATTGAATATATGTGTACTAGTAATTAATTTTTCAGTTTTTGTCTAAAAATGTCTTTGTTTCATTGCCGTTCTTGGAGGATATTTTCAGTGGATATACGATTCTAGGTTGGCAGTTATTTAAGTATGTTGACATTTTCATTCCACTGTTATTTAGCTTCCCTTGTTTTTGTCAGAAGCAAGCAGCCAGTCTGTTGTTCCTTCGAAGATAATTGTTTTTCTTCTGGCTTCAAATGTTTTCATTTTCATAAGATTTATTATGTGGTGCCTAAGAATATACATTTTTATCCTGCTTAGACTTCATAGGGCTTCATGACTCAAAGGCTTGATTTCTTGATCAAATCTGGATTTTTTTTTTTTTTGCCATTATCTCTTCCCATACAGCTCCTGCCCCACTCTCTTCCCCTCCTCTCCTTCTGAGACTCCAGTCCATATGTGAGGTCTTTTACTCTTTCCTTGGCCTCTTACATATTTTCTCATCTTTTGTCTCTTGATACTTTATTCCAGATATTTTCTTCAGATCTTTTAGTTCACAAAATTTTTTTCTTTTGTGTCTAAGCTGCTATTAATCTATCCATTGAGTTTTTAATTTCAGTTATTGTATTTTTCAGTTGAAGACTTTGTATTTGTTGTTCATCCCCCAACACACACACATCTACTGTATCTTTTTTTATAGTTTCCAGCTCTCTGCCCAAATTCTCAAACTCTGTCTTTCATGTAGTATTTTACAGTTTCCATTTTCTGTTTCACCTGGTTTTTCTTTCTATTGCCTTGTCTTGTCTTGTGACTTATTAAAAAATTGTGTGTGGGATGTTGTATTTGAAAATTTATTTGTAAAAAGAATTTGAAGCCTAGAAGTAGGTTCCTTATTGTTTTCATTTGCCTTTGGGTACCTTTACACATTCTTGTTGGCCATTTTGTGTAAAGTTCCTGGTCAGGGATCTTTACTATTTAAAAGTTGAAAAATCTCTATATTACTGACTTATGGGAATTCATTATATATCCTTTGCCATATACAATTGACCCTTGAACAACATGAGGATTAGGGGTGCCAACCCTTGTGCAGTCAAAATCCACATATAACTATAGTCAGCCTGCTATGTGGATTCTTAACTGCATATCGAAACTCTAGTTGACCATTGAACAACACAGGTTCGAACCACTCAGGTCCACTATTTTTTTTTTTATGAGCCTGTGTCTTGTCTTTTCATTTTTAATGATGAAAGAGAAATGGCAGAAGTTTTAATTTTGTTGAAGTCTAGTTTATCAAATTTTTTATGTTCAGTAATTTTTTTGTTCTATCTGAGGAATCTTTGCCTCTTACCGGACCAGGAAGATATTCTCCTTTGTTTTTTTCTAGAAGTTTCATAGTTTAGCTGTTGCAGTCAGCCCTGTAAGCCACCTCAAATTAACTTTTGTGTATGGTTTGATTTAAGGGTCAATTTTTTTTCCTATGTGCATATATGGTTGTTCTAGCACCTTTCTTTCCAACATTCTTCAAGTGGCTACATATGTGTAGCTTCATTTCTAAACTCACTGTTTTGTTCCATCAAGCCATTCTTTTATCCTTATGTCAGTACTGTACCCTCTTAATCACTGTGGCTTTATAGTAAGTTTAATGTCTGATAATGTAAGACCTCCTACGTTGATCTTCAAGAATTTCTTGATTTTTTTTTTTTTTAGGTCCTTAATATTTCTATACATTTTACAAACAGCCTGTCATTTTCTACAAAATAGCCTTTTGGAATTTTGATTGGGATTGTATTGGATCTTTTGATACAACTGGATGAGATTTGACATGTTAACAATATTGAGTATTCCTATGAACAAATGACATTTCTGTTTATGTCTTTTCTATAAGCAAAGTTTTGTAGTTTTCAATGTAAAGGTATCACACATATTTCATTAAATGTATCTCTAGGTAGTGGATGTTTTGGAACGCAGTTGTAAATTGTATTGTTTTAAAGTTACAATCTCCCATTGTATGTTAGTATATAGAAATATGGTTGAGTTTTGTGCAGTCTTGCAAAATTTGCTTTTTAGCTCTAGAAATTGGTTTGTTCATTCTTTTGGGTTTTCTCCGTACACAATGTCGTCATCTGTAAATAAAGATTTTTTTTTTCCCCCTAGTCTATGCTTCTCTTCCTTTCCTTGCCTTGGTTGGGACTTCCTATGCACGTTGACTAGGAGCAGGGGGCATTGGGGGAAGTGCATTTGGCATTTCATATCAGTATAGGGTTGGCTGCGGGTTCTGTAAAGCCCTTTCACAGATGGAGGAGGTGCCTCTGGCCTTGGCTGTTGTGCTTTCCTTGAAAGAATGTGGAACTCCTCAGATGTTCTCCATGCATCTGTGGAGAGCATCATGTGGGGTTCCTTCTCATTTTATTGCTGGGGTGAGGTGTAACAATTTCCACTGAGACAGCAGCATTGCATTCTTGGGGCACACCCCACTAGGTGGTGATGTTTTATCTTTTTTAGTTGCTGGGTTAGATCTGCCAACATTTTGTGTAGGGAGTTTGAACTTTGTCGTTCTCCTTTCTTTCAGTAGTCTCCTCTACTGAAAGGTTCTATGTCATGGTCATGATAGTCTTACTATCATTGTTCACTGCCTCACCCTTGTGCTTTCCTCTGGGGTGTGGAGAGCAGCGTGGCTTCCCTACCATTGATTCCCAGGCTCTGGGCACATGCCCCTCAAAGCCCTTGGCTGCTCTGGTCCTTTCATATTGGCACTGACCAATCAAGCAGGAGGCCTTTGGGTTGAGATGTGCGGTCTCTCACTGCACCTTCAGGGATCAGGCCCCAGAGAGCCTGCTCTGGTCTGTGGATACCTGGAGTGTGTGGCCTAGAGGTGGCTAGGCTGCACATTTGAGGAATGAGGCAAGGTGAGTCTCTGCTTCTGGCCCTATACTGTCAATGGTGTCAGCTATTAGAAGGAACCCCAAGGTGCCTAAGAATAGAGAAACTTTAGGAACCCCTGGGGCCACTGGGGGATGCCAGATGATTGCAGCCACATGTACCCTCCTCTTCTTGTTTTTTAGATGAATCCACCTCGAGCAGCAGTGGGGACACCATGTCTGGCCCTGGCACCTGGCCCTCTACCCACCACGGTCATTCCTGGAACTTCCCTGACCCTGCCCGTGCCAGGTACTACCCTCTCTGGCTTCTCAGCCTCACCCTGTGCACTGCCTCTGGGCCAGTACAGAAGCCTGTTCCCAGCTTCAGTTTCTTGGAGTAGCTGGGCAGCCCAGGAAGGCAGCCAGAGGCCTACCTGGGGACCAGGCCTGGGCGTAGCAGATAGGCCCATGCTTCCCGTGTTCTTAAGGCTTCCAGTGGCCAGAACACATAACCCCTGGCTGCAGATTACATAGCTCTCTAACTACTCTGCTCTGAATTGAACAGCCCAGAGGAACTGGGTTGTCATTTGGTCTCTGAGCCCTGCCCTGGCTGCCCAAAGGTACCTAGTGAAGGGGCCAGCGTGAGGGCCACCCTTGCTTTCTTTATTGCTGCAAACACTGTTTCTTCTTAGGTTCCATTGGTCTACATCTGCAGTCTTTGCACCTACTTCCTGTACTTGAATTGATGGTTAGAACATTGTAATCTCCCTGCAGAATTACAGTGCCTTGAATTACAGCCTTTCATTCCCTGATGGAAAGAGATATTTAAAAAAACCCATATATCGGGAAAGGTGCATTTCATTTAAAATTGTGTTGTGTGTTGATATCTTTATTTCCTATTAAATTGCAGAGGCATAAATGGTTTACAAGTCTGAAGCTAAAGTCTGATTTTTAGTTTTCTTTTATAAGTGGCTTTTTAAAAAAAAAAGTTGAACTAGTGACCTTGAATATTGAAGAATTGCAAATGGTAGGGGAGCTTTGCTTCATGCTCATGAAAGGTCTCTCTGGGCTTTTACGTCACTGGCAGCAGACAGATGAACACCCTCAACTGCTGTACTGCAGGCGCTGCCAGCGAGGTTCTTAAGGGGTGCATGGTTCCTGGGGCCAGGCATTGCTAGTAGTAGTTAATCTCTTAGTAAGGAACATTAGCAGCTATGTTTGGCTGTGTGGAACCTGCTGGAAAGTGCTAGGTGAGCAGAGATGCCCTCAAAGATCCAAAGCCAGGCAGGGCTACTGTGAGGTGGGGAAAGTAAGTGTGTGTGTGAGAACAGGAGCACAGGCAGGCTGCTACTCTGCAGAGACAGCGGGGCCCCTTTGTCTTGGGGGTCCACCCACTCTCCTGCCTGCCCTCCTTCCTTTTCCATCATCTACACTGAGGCCTGTGGCTACCTGGGTCTCTGTCTGCCCAGTGCTTGCAGGCTGGTCTGCCTTCCTCTGTCCCCTAGACTGCTGTCCAAGCACCAAGGTCACCCTGCCTGGGCAGGGATATATCTCCCCTGGAGACATCAGTAGGATTCATCCCAAATGGGCACCAAACAGCCCCTAGTGGGAGCTGAAGGCCCTGCTCCTCACTAGCCAGAGTATTTCCCAGCCTCTGCAGGGAGGCAGCTGGTTGGGCTGCCCAGCTGTGAATTAATTGTAGAGTTCTGCTGTACTTTGGGACCTCACCAAAACTAGCTAACTAATTTTGGTTTAAATTTATTATTCTATCAATTCAATTAGAATTGAATTTTCTAGGTGATTATGCAGAATCTTCTGCCAGGGCACAATCCTGTAGTAAGAGATTTTTGTTCTCCGTGAGGTGCCCCCTGGATCCTTTGTAGAGTCTCAGTGCCAGGTTCCTGAGGGCAGTAGAAGCCACCTTCTCCCACTTCCCTGCACCAACTTGAGCTTTAGAACTTTAGCCTTGTATACAAATGGTCAGTGGCATGGAATCCCCAAGAGGTTGTATATTTGAAGGAGAAAAATAAACATTTTTGCTTGGAAACAGTGTGAAACTTCTTTTTCTTACTCTGTCCCTTAAAAGCCAAACCAGCCAGCTTTATAGAGAAGACAGGAGAGGGCACCTGGGTAGGTAGGCAGGCGGTGGGTGTCATCTCCCCAGCAGGAGCCAGGTGTAGCAGATGATGTGCCGCCAGGCTCTTAAAATGAGAGTGGAGTGTCGGGTGGGACCCTGTCTTCTGCACACAGCTCCCACTGGGTGTGGCCTGGGCCCCAAGGACAGCCAGCCTCTACCAGCTCCAGGCCTGAGTTGGCCTATTCCCTCTGCTTTCAGCCATTCAAACTGAACTGCATTTCGATGTGGGAAGGACTGACCCATGGACAGAGGGAGTCTCATGGTCAACTAAATGGTATCCCTGACCCCTTTCCATGTTGGCTCTCTCCCAGAAAGCTGGATTTGCGTGACTCTGTGGAAGAAGCACAGGGGGAGGCATCTGGTTCTGGGCCTTGTGAGAGAAGGAAGATTTAGGCTGAGACCATCAGAGTCATTTAAGGGACTCTGCTGTTCCAGAGGCACAGGGCCATGTCATAGGTGTCGGTGCGGGGAGAGTACCCACCACGCACCCCCTCTACCTCTTCCTCCCTGTGGTGCTCAGTATGTTTTCCTGGCCTACCTATCCTTGATGTCCTCATGCTCAGTGGTCTGTGTGTCTGCATGCATTCAAGCTGGGAGTCACAGTGCCTCCTGCTCCACCCAGCTTGGGTGGCTGCCCCCATCTGCTGCTCTCACATTTCCACTGAGATGTAGTTAGGGTTTGTGCCACTGCTCATGGAGGGAATGGGGACCTCGTGACCACATTTAGAGCTTCATCTCTGTTGGCCCTGGGCAGAGGCTGGGGCATCTTGGGGTTGATGTGCCCAAGGAGCCAGAGGCAGCTTGCTCTCTGTTACCTCAAGCATGCAGGCTCTGGGACGCCCTGTCTGATTTGAGGCAGTTGCTCAGTGTGGAAGGTGGCCAGAGGGCAGAGGCTGCCTGAGGTCCACCTGAGTGGTGCACAGGTTTTGGTCAGGCCTCTGGGACCTCTGAAGAACGTGACTGCTTTGGCATCACTGCTCCACCTTCCAGGGCCTGGTGCAACCATGTAGGGCTTATAATGAGCTGTGGTGGTTTTGTTTTCTAGATTCTGAAAGTGAGAAGCCCGACTGAGCCCAGGCAGGCCGATCTGACCCAGACGCCAGGCCCCATGTCGTCTCATGCAGAGCAGGCGAGTCCGCGCCTTGTGTCAGTTCACACTGTTTTGTAACCACTTTCTAAGCATTTTTTATTCACAATTGGAGACACAAATGTAATGCAAGAATAAAAAATATTTTGGGGGAAAAAGGACTTTGGTTTTTCAAACTCTCTTTTCCAATGGCCCCCAGACAGGCAACTGGCCTCATACAGCAGTGAGCACAGGTGAGGGGTGCTGGAGAAACTCCAGAGACCACACAACAGGCTATCTGGGGCACCCTCAGCCAAGGGGTTTTTGGGTGTGGTGATGAACATTTGTAGTTTATGAGGTGACTTATAGTGCTCTTTTTAGCTCAGGGTCTTTGAATCGGACAGTAGCCAGAACAAGTCAGACAGGTGACATGGTCCCACTTCTCAGAGAAGCAACTAAGGCCGTGGATGGCAGGTAGCCTGGTATATTTCCAGGCACTTCCCGCTTCAGGCCCAGGGCAATGCCTATGGGACCCTTGAAGTCGAGCAGGAGTACATATCTCCAGTGATGGGCCCCTGGCCTGCAGAGACTCAGGCCTTTGTGCACACAGCTCCATTGATTTTGCTGACCCTCTCACTCTGTTGTTCCATGTCACTTGGAGGCATGTAACCCACTCCTGGGTACAGTGGAGCATCCATAATGGCCTGAAATATTGAGACCCCTGGCTACGAAGGATAGCAGGACAGACCTGCCCTATGGTGGGAGCCCAGGGCATACTGTATAAAGTGGGAAGCCTGCGAGTGTCCTCACAGAGAGATGTGGGTGGTAAAATTGTAGCCTGGCCTGTGGGCACTGGCTCACACTGGGCCTGGGGCAGAACTCAGGGGACCCCACATCAGGATGGAGAATTGCATCTTTGTTTTCATCGACGTCTGGCAACAGTGCTTCCTCGGTGTGAATGCGGGCTGGGGGATAGCAGCATCTGGGGCGTGTCACCGTTGGAGCCCACAGATGCTATATATGACATTGCAGTTGTCGCAGGTGGCCCCAGACATCATTTACCTTCATCACAACAAAATGCCAGTCCTTAAGACTCCTGTACAACAACTGGCTGATGAAAGCAGAGAGATGTGGGTTTCCCACTTCCCACAGCTTCTCAGGGGACTTGTGGCGTGGTGTGAGGGCTTGCCAACACAGCATCTGTATGGAGGTTTGCCGGCATGGTGTGCAGGTGCCATGGGGGAGGTGGAGTGGGCAAGATACCAGTGTGGAGGTAGGCAGGCAGAGCGTGGGAGAGGGCATCAGCATGGAGGCAGGTGGGCTCGGTGTGGGATGTATAAGCACGGTATCAGTGTTGGGATGTATGGACATGGTGTCTTGGGGGCTGGTGGGAACAGTGTGTGATTGTGCATGGGGGCTGCCTATCCCATCTCTTGCCAGCAGGCATGCCCCAGTGGACACGCCCAGCATGTGCCTGGGCCTCTGGCCCCTGCTCAGCCCTATGATAAAGCAGAGGAGCCAGTGTAGCCAGACGTGATGCCATTCTGTGTTTTTACTCTGTTTGGTTTGTCACCATGTTTGTGGCTCCTGCTACTGGGTTTCTGTTGATGATAGTAATGCAGTTTATGTTTTTTGATGGCAAATTTAAATAATTTCTTTTAAGTAATAGGTGCTAATGGTAAAAATAGGTGGTAAGATAGTAATTAGTGGTAAATCGTAAAAATAGTACATGAGCTAACAGTAAAAATTGCAAGGGCAGAGAGACACTTATTTACACCATAGCACATCTGAGAGCTTGACTCGCTCTCCCAGCAGCCTTTGGAGCAGGAGCCAGTCTGTACTCCTTACCTCCTAGGACCCTCAGTAGCAGTCTGCCACACCCCAACTCGGAGCAGTGGGTTGGGTCCTCCCTGCAAACAGACATGGCCCTCTGGACGTTTTCCATTGTAGTGTCGATCAGCACAGGTGGAGGGACAAGCTACTGATGGTGATAATAAAACTGCCACCCTGGGTTACAGAGGTGTGTGTGGGATCTCGAACGTTGGTCTTCTTCTGCCTTGCACAGCCAGCCTCCAGCGCTCCAAGGGAAAGTCTTAATCTCCCTTTCCAAGTCCAAGGTGCTCTGGTGTCCACCTCACTCAATACCAGATGTATCCCCCTCTTTGGACTTGGCTGCTGAGACATGGTTCACCATCCCCACCTCTGCCTCTTGCTGCTGCTGCTCACCTTCCTGCAATGTTCTACTGCAAAACTCCAGCAGGACTCTCTCACCAGACCCCTGGAGGGGTCTTTGCTACCTCTTATACGTCACACTTGGCTTTGAGCCTCCGGGGGCAAATTTTAAGAGCATCTTTCATATCCCATACCTCTCAGAACAGTCGTCAACGACCATAGCTGCTGCACAATGCATTGTGGCCAAAAGTGAAGCTCTACCTTTGGACAGAGGCCAGCAGTGGGTGCTCATTGCTACTTATTGGATTTCTGGAATAGGAAGGACCTGCCAGGTCAGGGACAGCAGCATTGTCCAGGTTTGTCCTGGCTTCTGTCTATTCCAGCTGCAGGCTCTGCTTTAAAGTTCTAGTTCTGTCCTGGAGGGCTTCCCACAGCCCACTGTCCTGCCCTGTCTGCTGTGATATGTGAGTGAAATAGCTTCAGCTCTGCAATGTGCATCTTATTAAAGGGGTGGTTGATTTTCTATGACCTGAGAAAACGCAGCAAAACAAAAGAAAGCATCGCCAAGGCTTCCGAGTAACAGAGGTTGTACTGTTCAGAGTACACTGTGCACACTGACATTGTGCACTACATTTCCAGGTTATAAGTAACTTTATACTGTGACCAAACCAAAGCGAGTTCACATGCAGCAAAGCCAAACCCTGAACACCAAGGTTTGTAATGGAGAAATTAGAGTGGTTTATTGGCATGACGCCAAGCCAGGAGACCAGGGGGCTACTACACAAAATCCAAACTCCTCAATGGTTTGTAATCAAGGATTTTTAAAGGCAGAGATTGAGGTTTAGGGAGTAGGGGTTATGGATGAAGCTAATTGGTTAGTTCTTGTGAAAGCCTCAGTGGTTTTCTTTAGTCTGATTAGTTCAGTTCCTAATGTGAGGAGCTAAGATTCTATAAAATATCTCATAATTGTTCATCAGCGATGTTATTTTTAAAGGAAAAGGCAGAAATTGAATGTCTTGTTACCATTGTTATTAAGTCAGTGGTCCCCAACTTTTTGGTACCAGATGCTTGGTGCTTAATGCCTGATGATCTGAGGTGGAGTTGAGGCAGTGATGCGAGCTCTGGAGAGCGGCTGCAAATACAGATGAAGCTTTGCTTGTTCTGCTGCTCACCTCCTGCTGTGCAGCCTTGTTCCTAATGGGCCATGGACTGGTACTGGTCCAGCCGGGGGGTTAGGGCCCCCTGGTTTAAGTTATGATTGTTTTGTGCTCAACTAGCTACATTTTTCTGTTATCTCAAATAAATAAATATTTATTTCTGATACAGAATTTATTTTTCGAGTTTTTATTTATTTTATTAAACAAAGTGTACTTTTAAATATTTTTGCTTTACAGGCAGACCTTTAGGATGTGATTAACATACTTTATTTAATCTTTGACTATTAGCTACATGACAACCAAAGCAATGAAAACATCTAGTTAAAGCCTACGCATACATTTCTAGACTCTATAATCTAATACCTAAACATGTTTACTGTTAACTGTCAGTTTCATTGTGCTATTCTGGAAGCCCTGCCTTGACTTATTATGTTGTCTCTTTGGGAAACAAAAACACATAGTGTCTTGGGCCACCATAATAATACCTCATACTGGGTGGCTTAAACAACAGACATTTATTTATCACAGTTCTGGAGGTTTTATTCTGAGGTTTCTTCTCTTGGCATATAGGTGACTATCATGTAAGTGGCCTCTTCTTTGTGCCCATGTGGAGAGAGTGAGTGAGCTCTGTTCTCTCATCCTCCTCTTCTTATAAGTACACTAATCCTGTTAGATCAGGGCCCCACCCTTATGATGTCATTTAATCTTAATTACTTCCATAACGGCCCTACTCCAGATAGTTACATTGGGGGTAAGGGATTTAACATATGAATTTGGGTGGACACATTCAGTTGATCACACGTGGCTTATTAAATAATTTTGGCACAAAAGCTATTTGTAAGATTGAAACTTCTTGCACACATTTTCAAACTAAAGTGAATAAAAATATATACACACATGAGGGTGGGGAGAGAAGGAGGGAGGGAGAGAAGGGGGCGGTCAAGACATATTTGTGGCAGAAAACTGGAAGGAATCACCCACTAGTCTCTTCACAGGACCCCACATGAGCTTGTCCTCCCCATCGCTAAAGCACCAGAACCGTGGACTGGAGGACAATGGCCAGTGGTGAACATACCAGGCCAGCTACACAGGATTGGTCAGTACACTGACTCTGAGGGACACAGAGCTCTTGGTTTAGAATTCAAGCACACAAAACCACAGAAAGGAGAAAAAAAGGAACAAAAGACAGATAGGATAAATAAAAATCAAATTGCAAGATGATAGACTGAACCCTAATTATATCAATAACCATATTTCTCATGGTATATAAATGGTGTGATCACTCTGATTAAAAGAAATTTACAGATTGGGTTAACCCCAATAATATGTTGCACACAGTAAACATACTATAAATATAAAGAAAGATGCATTGGTGGACCAAGATATACCATCCTAACATTAATCAAAAGAAGCTAGAGTGACTCTATTATTAATATTAAACAATGCAGATTTTGGAGCAAAGGTTATTATGAGGGCAAAGACATTTCATAATGAAAAAGGGTCAACTCATTAAGGAAACATAAAATTCTAAACATTTATGCCCCTAATAACAGCTTCAAAATAGATGAGGAAAACAAATGCAAAGATAAATAGACAAATTCACAACTATAGTCAGATATTTCAATATCCCTCAATAATTGACACAAGTAGAAAAACAACCATTGTAATAAAGTCTGACTCCAATTTGTGGTGTCTACTGAACATTTAAATCCTCCCTCTTCCTTTTCTGTCTCACATCTAGGAAAGCTTATATGAAGCCCTGGTGCTCACTCCCTGGGCACT